CTGATGGCTCAAATGAAAATCCTAGACCTGATTCCTATGGGCCCCCAAATCGATCACGTGCCCATGCCTGGCCAATCATTAGCCAGAACACAGAATGCACTGATTGGCCCAAATCTGGAGCAAGCCATCAAAGCTATTGCACCAGAGGCTCCAGAACTGAAAATAGGGTAGAGACCATTTCCCCAGAGAAAAGTAGAGTGCTGCTATGAAAACTGAGCAAATGGGTGCTGGGGGAACACTCCTCCCTAACCCCGAAATACAAATATCTACATCACCCGCACACTCTCCTGGATAGACCACCTTATTTTATTTCTAGCTAAATGAAATTTTTACGTACAAGTTTTCAACACTATTTTTGATATTCTAACTCATTTATTTCAACTTTAGCTAAAAACACCTTTGCCTACATGTTCCTCCATATGGACATCCAGTAGTGAACATCCTGTGCTTAAAAGCATCCATGCTGGTAAGAAGGGACGACACACAACAGAGAGAAGGGGAAAGGCCTGCACCCCCAGGGGTCACTGTTGTCCACCCCAGAGGGCCTCTGCTTGTCCCTGCTCTGCAGGTTCCCACGCCTCAGCTCTGTAAGCCTCCCAGCGCTGGTGTGGGGGGTGAGAATCAAAATACCTAACCACAGGCCCCGACCCATCAGCCCCAATGCCCGCTGTAAATGAGCAGAGCCTTTTCCAGGCCAGACCTTGCCCCACATGGTTTCTCACAGGGCAGCATGTGGCCAACAGTCCCACCACCTCAGCACTTCCAAGGAATTCTCCCTGGGGCTCTGCTTGGAGACCAGTTCACCGTGTGCATGGTGGTGCTCGCAGCCGCGAGCCTTGGGCCTCTGGCCAGCCAAGTCCAGCTTCATTACAGGTGCTCAAGGGAGGCCCGTTGGCGTGTGCCAGGCAGGGAAGTGCCTCAAGCACTTTGCACATAAACTCATTAGTATCTCATGACAGTTCTAGGAGGGAGAGGCAGTCATCATTGTCCCCATTTGGCAGGAGAGTTTGAGGGAAAGAGCCCCATGGTGACATGCAGCTGGTGAGCACATGTGTGAATCTGTCTCTAAACACTAGGATGCAAATCACTCCATTGTATCACCTCTTCTGTTTGAATGTCACAAACAGGATATTCATTCATTTAACAAATATCTATGGAATACCGTCTGTGTGCTAGACAATGTTCTGCTCATAGACAAACAGACACAGTCCCTGCCCTCCTGCAGCTACTGCATGGTGGGGAGTGCGGAGAGGGAAATAGACAGTGACCATAAACACAAAATAAAAAACAAATCTCAGACAGTAATGTATTATAGGAAGATAATAAAATGGGGAAAGAAAATAGTGATCAAAAAACATCTTTAGGTAAAACACACAAGAAGTCTCCAGGAGATGACAGCTGAGCTAAAACCTGAAGGATAACAAAGATCTTGTGGAGGGAAACCTGGAGGAAGAGTATGGGAATGGATACAGCAAGTGCAAAGGCCCTGAGGTAGGAAAGAACTTGAGGAACAAAGAGAAAGATACCTCTGTGGTTCTGTTAATGTGAACAAGCTGGAGAGTTATGGAATTGCTGTTAATTTCCTCAGATATGATATTGATAGGGAGGTCATCTGGAAAAGCAACATATTCTTCGGAGAGGCCCACCCAGGTCCTGAGGGGCGATGTGTCGAAAGGTCTGCAACCTCCTTCTACATGCTCAGCAACATACGACACACACATAGCAAAACACTGACTGTGCACTTTAGGTGAAGAGAAGCGGGCCCGGTGTACTCTTCTTTCAACTTTTCATAATAAAAAGGGAAGCAAGAGAGCAAGAAAAGATACTGAAGCAGCAGGAGGGACAGGATCACATATCTCATGACTGCTCAGGAATTCAGATTTCCATCTAAGCGGAGGGGATTTTAAGCCTGGAAGTGGCATAACCTGGTTTGCTTGAACATCATCAGCCTAGCTGCTCTGAAGTTTCCCAGTGCAGCTTCGTAAGCCCTGGAAAGTCTCCCGGGCCCATGTGAGCATGTTTCTAACTCTGACTTAATGAATGCTCGCTGTGTACTTCCTCGAGCTAAGCACTCAGCATGTGTGCATTTCACCTTCATTCATCTCACTTAACGCACATGACAGCCGGCAGCGTCTTTGATCATATCCCCATTTTTAAATGAGTAAACTGAGGCCTGGGGGAGGTCAGCTAAGGATTCTCCAGCCAGTACCGGCAGAACCCAGTTAGGTAGATCCTCTGCGCTGGAGCAGCACCAAGTCACCATCCCTTTTTACTAACTGGCCACCATCATTAATCAAAGTCAATAAAGTATAATCAAAACTGAAAGGTGATGTTTTTGCAATGTGATTATAAAACTGGATATGCTGCCCCAGAGAGAACCCTAAACTGAATTGCACCAGTGGTCAAATGGATCATGCTTTTCCCTTTAACAAAGATCGCAAGCTCTACCTTGTCCAAAGAGACCTGCAGCTCTGGCGCTGGAGCCACGGTGCTCTCTGTAATACTTGGCTGCACTTGTACCGGCACTGCTGTGTGCGTTATCACATCAGAAACGACGTGGAATTCGCGTGTTTAAACTTTCTTGCCTGTTTATCCAAGAGAACCATTGGTGTGTCATTAAGCAACTAGACAAATTGTCACTGTTATCTGTCATCATTGAACAAGTTCTTCACTGGAAACAGGCCCACTGTCTTTCTGAGGGAAGAATTTAGAATAAACATCATCACCCTTTGAGATCACTCATAAGCAGCCCCCAGGAGACTGCAATTATAGGTGTTTATAATTCTCCCTCCCCAACTAACCCTTGATTCATAAATGTGCACTTTTAGGCGTCAGGCGTTAGAATAAATTAGACTATACAATTACGTGTAATTAAAGGGGAAATGGGTAGCACACTGCAAAGATTAGCTGGGTTTTGCTGAAGTAAAGCATGTTTGTGTCCGCGTGCTGGTCCAGGGAGGCAGCATGAAATACAATTAGTGTTCTTCTGACTTAATGGGGGTTTATGGAGCTGTTTTTCATTATCACAATATCTGAAGACATGTAAACAGTTTTTCTCTAATGCCAACGCATTTCTACTGACAAGACAGCTTGGGTCTAACTGAAAATTCAGCAGAATTAACCACACATTTATATTGTTATGGATGAAACTGGAATTGGTATTTTAAAACTCATGCAAAACCATCTCCAACTCAGGAGCTGAGATGTTTGATCCCAACCCCCTGAGGACCGCTGCAGGCTCCTCAGCTCTTGAGAAGCAAGTTTCAGCCAGACTTGCCTGCATTATTAAAGCCACCTGTGCCCGGCTCCGAGGCTTGCTCATCCAGGCCCTTCTGTGGCCAGGTTCCTACTTTTAATGTTTCTCCTTTACACACCAATTTGTTTGAGACATGTTAAAAGGTTGCCTTTTACAACCCTCATAAAATCCCATCTACTCCAACCTAGATCCAGCCAGAAGAGCCAGGACAATCAGATTGAGTTTCACCCTCTGGAGGAGAAGCAAAAACACACGGCAAGATTGTTGTTTTCATTGTTGCATGAGAGCCAAGGAAATCCCAGAGCGATTCGGGTTCATCCCGGTCTGTGGCACAAGCAGGCGTCCTGCACAGCTGGCCACAGAGGAGTTCGCAGAAGGGAGAAATGAGGCGTAGAGGATTCAGGAGAAAGGTCCCCGGAGGTTAAACCAACAATGGGGGACAGTTGGGGCTGCTGGAGGGGCTTGAAAGGCCCTATTGGAGTACCCAGCCAGCAACATCACAGAGACAGATGTCATCGGGGGCTCGAGGGAGACAAGAGGAAAAAGGCTGTCCCAGGCCGGTGTCAGGGACTGAAGACTTGGAGGGTCCTGAGAGTCTTCGAGCCTCCCCCAGGCCCTGGCTGAGGAACTCCCTAGGCTGGGGGACACCTGAGCCCTGAGGCCCCACACGTCTCCAGGCAGACACTGAACCCTAAGTGGGACCTGGACAGCAGGCTGAGACTTGGCCCTGGAGAACCATAGGGTTGCTGGGAATTATGGGAAGACAGTGGCAGGAGGTGCTTTGCAGATGTTCCAACCCCATGGGTGTCTGCCCTGCTGAGTGGCTCCCCACGTGGAACACACAGTGCACACACAGCCCTGGCCTGCTGTGAACACACACGCGCGCACACACACACACACACACACACACACACAAGCATTGACAAGCCAGATCTGTCCTCTCCTCCTTAAGGGAGGGTCAGAGGCAAAACACAGACAGAACCACTTAGTTCTTTCAACAGCAACGATACACATCCAAAAGCTAATCAAGTGACTCCATCTCAGGCCTGCACACTGCCCCTCCTTGCCGAGGTTCTCTGATGAAGAGAGAAAAGGACAGAGGAGGAAATCGTGGGCAGAGCCCATATGGGGAAAGGAGAGCCTGCCTGTTCTGGAGGCCCAAAAGGCGATGTGTGGTGACACAGTGGTGTTTGAACTTTTCTGTGGTGGAAATCCTCCCATCCCTGAAACATTCTCCAGAGCCCAACATAAAAGAAGGCAGGATGCAGATCTTCCCTTAGGCCTCCCCCGCTCCCATCACAGATCTCCACAGGGCTCTGAGGACCAGTTAGAAAACTGCTGTTGCAGTGGGATACAGGTCCCCCAGACAGGCACCATTTCCAGTGGGTTAAAAGCCCACCTGCCAACTCTGCCTGCAGGCAAGATCCTTGACTTCTCTGAGCATCTGTTTTCCTAAAAGATCGTTAAGAGAGTGATGTGAGATGTCCAGATGGAAGCACTGCCTCTGCCCACAGAACCAACTGCAGCCAGGCTGTCCAGTACCGGAACCCAAACTGCACGAAGCTGATCCAGATGGAGAGGGATTTTAAGAAGAAAATACCCACCACATGCAAAGATTAAGAAAAGAGAATGTAGCTGGGGATTTAGCTCAGTGGTTCTGCTGCCTGCCTCAAAAGCGAAAGGTCCTGAGTTCGATCCCCAGTACCAAAACAAAAAAGAAAAAAAAAAAAGAATGTAGAAAAACTCACTAATAATTTTTATATTGAATATATACTGAAGAGATGATAATTTGGGTATACTGGTTAAATAAGCTACATTAGGAAAACTAACCCCATCTGCTTTTTTTTAACCCTCTATTGGCCAGTACTAGACAATTTTCAGTTATATCCATGGCGTGCAGCATACATCTGTGGTAAAGCACCACGGTGGGTCTGACTTCCCTTCTGAGGAGACAGGAGGGACTCCAATATCTTGGGGTTCCACAAAGGTCAAACAGGAAGCATGACATTGTACTGCAAAATCAGGCAGTGCAGTGGGGCCAGCAGGTAATTTATAAAACAAAGTTCAAGGATTTTTCTGATTTAGACTAGATTCATCTGAGATGAGGAGGAAGACTAAAGCGAAGGGCCTAGAGTGCCCCCTCAACTCAAGACATTCGATTTGAATTTCAGATTTTAAAAACAAAAGAAATTTTAGTATAAGCATATCCCCATAAACATCCTGTTATCTTTACTAAATCTGACAACTCTAAGCACGATTAAGAGTGACAATAACCTAGTGGCAGTAATGGTGAAACTTTTAGAGCTTTTGATGATAAACAGCCCACTGCAGCACCTGTGCCACAGGTTTGCCACCACTGGCTGGGGTGCAAGAGCATTGCTCGCAGCTGGGCTTCTTGGGTTCAAATCCCAGATCCATCACTTAAAATTGGGTATTGAGCCAGTCACTTAACCACTCTGCACCTTGGTGTCCACAGCTGTGAAATGGGTATAATGCCACAACCGATTTCGTGTGTTAGGTTTAGATGGGTTACTACTGCCCATGAGTGCTTTTCTATAGAAGAATCTGTTTCCCTTTAGCAGCTCAGCTTCATTTTCTGCAGCTACTGGTTGGTTCTCTGCGGGCTCTAGGCCCACCCCTTCCAGCCCCCGTGCCCCTGGGCCTGGGCCGTGATGCTGGGGATAGTGGAAATCTCGGCAGACAGCACCACCTTGAGTCGAATCCCTCCCTTTCGGAGGAAGCAGGTTCGTCTTTTCTTTCCTATTCCCGGGCCATTTCTGGGCCGCTTTTCTCACTCGAGCTCAACAGGATTTCTCGGAGAACTTCCGAGGCGCGTGGGCAGCTCTCCCCGCGGTCTAGCTTGGGGCTGGCCCGGAACCGGCGCCTCTAAAGGAAAATGTGTGTAGATCCCGGCGAGCGCGGGGCTTTCAGCCTAGGCAGTAGGGCGTTTGCAGTGCGGGGTGAGCCCCTGTGAAAGGAGATAAAAGAAAACATTTATTAACGCGTCATTACGAGGGGAGCGCCCGGCGGGGGCTGTCGCACGCCCCAAGAAACACTTGGCTTTTCTAGTGCCAGGGGAGGAGAGAAAGAAAGCGACAAGGAAGCCAAGGGTTGTCTTCGTTCCGGCCAAGTGGATCTGATCGATGGCCCTCCCCACTTTATTACGATATTTGGTTTAGTAAAAATGCCCCCCTCGTCCGTGTGGGGCGCGCACGCACACACACAGACACACACACGCGCGCACACACGGCTCTGGCTCGCGTTCCTCCCTCGTTTCCAGCTCCTGGGCGAATCCCACATCTGTTTCAACTCTCCGCCGAGGGCGAGCGGGAGCGAGTGTGTGTCGGTGAGTGTGCGTCTGTGTCCCGGCGAGGGTGCGCGCTCGGCAGCGGGAGCGCGGCCAGGAAGCCAGCAGGGCCGGAGGCGGCGGAGGCCACAGCGCCCGGAATCCGCTCACCGCGCGCTGCCCCGTCCGGGGCCGGACTTCGGGGCAAGGGCAGCGCGCCCGCTCCGCAGGGCCAGGCCGGCGGGCCGTGCGTCCACGAAGCGGAGGTAAAGCGCTCGCTCGCCGGGGACGCGGGAGGCCGCCGCAGATCCCCGGGTCCCCGCCGCTCCGGCCAGGGCCCCCTGGCCCGGCGCGCGCGCCTCCCCGAGCCGAGGCCAGCAGGGGACGATCGGCGGCAGCGGCAGGCGGGGGCCGGGCGGGCCGGGCTGGGCGCCTCGAGAGCGGCCCGGGCGGGGCGCGGAGTCGGACTTTGGCGAGAGCGGCGCGCCGGGAGGGGGTCGGGGGTGGGGGCGGAGGCCGGGGGCGGGGAGAGGGGGAGGGGAGGAGCGGCGGCAGCGCTCGCCCCGGGATGCAGCCGTGGTGGTGGCGGCGGCGGCGGCGGCGGCGGCGGCTGCAGCGGCGCGGAGTCCCCTGCGTCCCGCTGCCCGGCCGAGCTGCAGCAGAGGCGGCGGCGCCCCGCGCCGGGTGAGGTCACCGGTGTGCGCGGGGTGAGTGGGGCGCGGGGCGGAGGCGTGGGGCTCAGGCGTGGGGCTCCTGCACCTCAAGCCTCACCTGTCTGAGCTCGGCTGCGAGCGCCGCCCAGGTGAGCCCCGGCCGGCCCGGACCGCCTGGCTCCGGCCTGTGAGCTGCGCGAGGAGGTGGGACCGGCCGGGAGGCGCCGGCGCCGGCCGGCAGCAGGGGGTGACCCGCTTGACCCGGCCGGCGGGCCTGGTGGGAGGGCGAGGACTTCCAGCCGCGCCCCAGAAGCAGGGAGCGCGCCCGGGCCCGCCAGCCCGTGGGGCACGGCCTGCTTGACCCCTCCGGGGTGAGACTCGGAGGACCAGCTAGAAGCCAGCCCACGTGGGGCTTGTCCGGGCAGGACACGGGCAGGCGGTGGACCGAATCTCAGAACTCTCAGATAGCGAAAGGACAAATAGGATGGGGAAGGCAAACTTCCACCCCGGCCAGGTCCGAAGCAGTTTCATCCCCCAGCGGAGAGATGCTCTCCTCCCGGGGCTACAGGGTTGTACAAGTCAGGCAGCGATTCCTGGGGATGCACTTTCTTTCTTTCTTGTTTAAATATTCCGTGTAGTGTTCATTCATTCGTTCTACCCGCACTTATGGTTCGCCCTCGTGCCAGCTGCCTCCGAGTTGGGTTCCAGGGAAAAACGCGGAGGAACTGCATCGGCTTCCTGCGCCCAAAGCGGCCGGGTCATTGGAGGGCGGCTGGGTAGAGAGGAGTAGTGAGAAATCCTAGTTTGGCAGAGTGACCCCTGTCCACAATTCCCTACCTTCCGGGACCCCGAGGACCACGCCCCCTGCACGCAGTGGGCGCTGCACACGGTAGGAAGACCTTCCTCGTGACCCCCCCCCCCTTCTCGGGAGTTGTGATTCATCCACCCCCTTTCTGGACAGCCTTTCCTGCAGCTTGTTTTAATCACTTTGGAGTTAAAAGTCAATATTTAATTAACCAAGTAATTACATTCGGCTTACGTTTGAATCTGGGTATGTGCTCATCAGTGAGTGTTGGGACACCCGCCCTCCCCCTCCATCTGTCCCCTGCCTCTTTTCCCACAGTTCTCCCTCCCCCCCAGCCTGCTCTGGAGCCAAGTCCGTGGGGGTGACCAGGCAGGTGAGACAGCTTTCCCAGGACGCCCCAGAGTCTGCTCTCCCCAGGGTTGTGCATCCATGGAGTAGTTAATAGTGAAGGGGACTCCTTCCTGCGACCCCACCTCCCCTTGCAGGAGGGGGAGGGGTGTAATTAAATTAAGCCATTCATTAAAGATCGGAGGGGGTGGGGCGATGCGCTGAAGGCCGCTCCCGCCTAGGGGATGTCTCCCCAGCCTTCCTCGTCTCTCTCCTAGGGGAGGAGAACTCTGGACAGCTGTCCCGTGTGACTTAGTGTGACTTAGTGTTGAAATAAGCAGCTCGGGGCTGATGGTGCCGGCTTGGCTGATGGATAGGTGGACATTTGCACTGCGGGCTCTGACTTCACAGCCAAGATTGTGTGCAGAAGGGCAGGATGCTGGCATCACTGCCGTGGCTGAGGGTCAGTGTGGCTTTGGACTTTGGGATCTGTGTATACTTCTTGGGTTTTTTATTTGAATTTATGGCTTTTTGTGAAACCCTAATAACACGTTAAGTTTTCAAACTTAAGGGGTGAAGGGTGAGTGACTGCAGAAATCCTGGGCTCGGAGGAGGCCTACTACATGAGCTGAGTGTGTGCACGATGTGCGTGTGTGTGTGTGTGTGGCTGTGACCCCACCCCGAAGCTCAGTGGTTGGCTTCCCAAGGACCCAGTGAGGGGCAGGATTTTGGATCATGTTTCCCGCCCCTTCTCTGGCTTTGGTGGCTATCTACTTACCCTGGTGGGTAGGTGGGTGGGGCAGCCTGTGGTCTCCAGGCAGGAATATCCACCTTTTAGAGCTTGCTCCTTGAGACCAGAAGCCCTCTGCTGCTGAATGGGTATGTATCACCATCTCCGAGCAGCTTATAGTTAAAAGAAAAGGTAGAGTCTAGAACCAATAGGTAATTTAGGGAGTGTCACAGGGACCAAAAGCATTCAAAGCCACTATATATAACAACTCCTTGAGTCCACACAAACCCAAGAGCCAGGTCTTGTGGTTGTCGTCATGCTAAAGGTGAGGAAACTGAGGCACAGAAGGGACTGTGACTTGCCAGGAGTGGTCAATGGTGGAGTCCTTGGGCTCTAGGGTCCAGTCTGAACCAGTGGGCCATCCTCTCGACCTTGGCCTTTTATCCAAATGTAGGAAAAAAGCAGGCTAAACCAAGAACACACAGAATAACACTGAAAAGTAGAAAGCCATCAGTATTCCTTCTGCTCTCCCATACCACCATATTTGGGGAGTCTTGGGTTTGTCTCTTAGGGTTTTCTGCCTGGAGGAACCTATGCATTTGCTGAGTTCCTTTTCCTTCTCTTGAGGTTGGTGATAGAGTCGCTCCATGGAGGTCCGAGGTCTGGGACACTTGATGTCAGCCTTGGGCACTGTGACTGGCTGTGTGGCGGTGGCCATGGAAGGGGGCGGCCTGATGCTGACCCCCACCCCTCCCCAGCGAGGGCACCCTCTCTGGGACTTGCCTCCCAAGGCAGCCTCATGACAGGCCTTGGGGGAATCTGCAGGTGCCCCCAACCAGCCAGATTCAAGGCGCTATCTAATTGGGAGATCATTAAGATCATTATAATTAATTGGCATCCTGATAAATGGCATGATTGCCTAATTGGGGCGGTTGCTAGGGAACTAGGCCTCGCTTGGATCCTAGAGGGGAAGAGGCGCTGGGCTGGCCGCAGTTGGCGTTAGGGTTACAGACCTGGCCGGGCATGGGCAGGAGGCCAACTCGCCTCACTGCCTGGGCCAGGCTCCCTGAGCAGCTGCCACTTGTGAGTTGCAAATGAAATATCAGGGGTTTTCCTAGAAGGATGGCAGGGTAATCAGGATTCTTTCTCTTGCAAGCCACAGAAAGGGAAAAAACCCTCAAACCAGCTTAAACAGAAGGGACCCTGTTGGTTTCCATAACCTGAAACTCTTAGGGTGGTTCTCGCCTCAGGCCCGGAGGGACTGGAGCCTCAGATTTGGGCATGAGGGTCCATTCCCCTCCATCTCTGCTCTGCCTTCATAGACCGGCTTTCTTCCCGGCTCTGAGGCCGCAGGCTCTGGCAGCTGTGGGCACAGTAGTGAGGACAGCCGGGCTGCCTGGCCACCTGCCCAGCGACGAGATGGGGGTGTGTGACTCAACCTTTCTGTGCCTCTGTGTTCTCATCTGACAAATGGTGATGATCCTAGCACCTGTCCCTGGCTGTGGGAAAGGGTGGAATGAGATCATCAATGTCAAGTGCTTAGCATAGCGTCTGGCTGTTATCGCAATGGAGGTGCGAGACCTCTCCTCCCATCTGCGTGGAGGAAGAGCAGGCTTCTTCTGAGGTAGCGCCCACCTGAGCCCCAAGCTCCCCTCCAGCTGGACATTGGTCTGTTCTCAGTGCATACAAGTCACTGACCACAGATGTGAACTGCACACAGTCAGCTCAGGGTGGGTCCCTGGACCTGCTCTGGACAGGGACGCTGACCAAGGGGGCCCCAAAACCTGGGGGAATACGAGCTGGGAGTCCTGAGTGACAGAGCAGCAGGTGGCCACACTCAGGGCCACGGCCGTGGTCAGAGACCTGTCTGCTCTTTGGCTGAGGGGGGGGCCTCGGGAACAGCCCCCCACACACACCCTCTCCCGAAGGGCAGCAGGCGTCCCAGGACTTAGCAGCACAGATGCAGCCTAGCCCCATCCTGTGCTTTTGGGGGCTCTTTGCTGGTTGCCCAGCCCTGCGCCAGGAAAATCACCTCGAAGTGCTTACTTAAACCATGGGAAACCCGGACTGGGGAGTGAGTGGTGCACTCGTGTAGGCTCCGGATACACAGGGCTTTGGGGAGGAGGCCCTGGGACTGCCTGTCCGACAAGGGCTTCCCAGGTCGTCCTCCCACACATGGGCTCTGTGACTCTGCCGTGGGCCGGGCCCTGCGTTGGAACAGGGACCAGCAAGAGAGGACTCTGCACTTCCAGGGACCGAGAGGCTGAATCAACTGAAGCAAACCAGCCCATGCCAGGGCTGTTTCTGAAAGCCAGAAGCACCTCAGGGGAAATAAAATAGTGATGGACGAAAGATGGCTGTGTGAGGTGGGTGGGGGCAACGTCAGGCAGGTGGGCTGCAGAAGCCTCTCTGAGGAGCAACCCCTGAGCTGTGGCCTGCATTTTAGGAAGCAGCTGGCCTTGGGAGGATCTGGAGAGAGAGGGCCTGAGGCAGAGGAGGGGCCCATCCGGGTCGCCTGTGCAGGACCCAAATAGAAGTCCAGAGGTCAGAGGTGACAGGTTTATACTATGGTGGGTGCCATGGGAAACCATTGGTGGCTTTAAGGTAGGGTTGGCATGATTTGTGTTTCAGAGAGGTCGTAGCTACTACAGGAGGAATGTCGTGTGCATGGAAGCTGGGGTGCCAGGTGGTAGTCTGGGGGCACTGGGGCTGGCCTGAAGGGTGGCGTCACGGAGCCTCGGTGCAGCCTGGAGATCATTTGCCAGGGCGCTAACAGGACTCCTGGTGCGCCGAATGCTCAGAGTGTGGGAAAGAGCATCAGGGTCAACCAAGGGCGATTTCGCCTGCTAGGGACAGGGCAGTGGGAGACATTTTTGATTTTCACAGCGTGGAGGGGCTCTCCCGGCACCTCGTGGGTGCTGCTAAACGTCCTCCCGTGTCCAGGACGCCCCCACAAGGTGGCTCGGCACATGGTGACTCCTCAGTGAAGCTGGGAGAGGCCTGGGAGGGAGCAACCTGGACCTCAGCACCACCTATGCCAGGCGAAGCCCTGCGGGTGGCAGAAACACAGACCTGCAACCGCCCTGAATCCAGAGCCACTGCAGGCCCAGGGCTTTTTTTAAGCCTGGGGGCCCAGCCTCACCCAGGGAGCGGATCCTGTGTTCCCGGCGTGCGTCCAGCCCAGCCTGTCATGCGAGTGTTTGATGAATATTTCAGCACACTCCATACTCCCGCCCTGGCCACCTCCTGGGGAGTTCTGAAGGCTCAGGCTGCACCCCGGGGCCTCCCCAAGGGTTCAGTGATTAGCGGACCAAACTAAGT